TTTAAATACACTCTTTCTTGACAAAAACTTAAGCTATAGAAGTAATTTGGAGAAGTGCTGAGTTTATATGTTAGGATCTTTATAAGCACCACTGTTTTTAATTGTGACAAAGTAGATAAACAAACAATAGCAGGTTGATTATATCAGTGGTTCTCAACTGGGCGTTAACATTGCCCAAAGAAGACATTTGGGAATAGGTGGAAATATTTCTGATTGTCATGACTGGTGTGTAGGGGTGGGGGGCAGGGAGGACAGTGCTACTGGCATCTAGTGGGTAGAGGGTCAGGAATGCTGCTAAACATCCTCCAATGACAACACAGCCTCCCACAACAAAGAATTATCCAGCCCCAAATTTTGGTGCTGAGGTTGAGATATCTTGGGTCAGATAAAGAATATTATAGCCATACAATAAAATATTTTCAGCCATATTAATGATGATATAGGTGTGTATTTATTGGCTTGAAAAAATAAGTCATTGAGTGGCAAAAAGCAGATTGTAAAAGTAAAATGAATAGTAAATTCCCATTTTGAAAAGCAAACAAAAAAAACTATTCCTAGCGAAAAGTTTTAAGGGTTACAGAATGCTGAGTGGTCAGCTCTAAGTTGCCAGGTTTTGATTTTTCTTTTTTAAATCTTTCTGTATTTCCTGAAAAAATCTGCATGTGTTACTTTTAGTCGGAAGAACAATGAAGGCATTTTCATCTAAAATCAAAACAGAGTGAAAAGCACAGAAGTGTCAGAGGTAAACAGTTCTAAATGAGGACGGGATCTGCAATTTCTGTGGAGTGAATTACAGAAGCGAGGAAGGTCATTGGAAATGGGATATTAAGGAATTTGAAACTAGCGTGGGTAGATGATTCTGTCAAAGGCCAGAACTCTGAAGTTCCCTGAGATAGTGGTAGGAATTGGAGCAGAGGGGGAGACTAAGGTCAGCGGCTAAATACCTCAATAGATGTCAGAAAAAATGGGAAGACCAATGAAACTAGACTTTGTGACCTTCCAGCTTGCTTTTTCCTTCTTCTAAAAGTGTCACAAGAAAATATGAACAAGGTAAAAGAAAAATTTTAAATCTACAAATTCCATTTACCCAGAAACAACCATCTTAAAACAAATTTAGGTATTAATTAGTCCCCTAATGTTGTACATTTGTTTCCGGTATTTCACTGTTATACACAGTAAATAGTCTTAGAGCTAAATTTTTGAGCACATACTTATTTCCTTAGGATCAATTCTTAGATGTGCAATTTAAAGCATTTGGCCAAGCTGTATTCCTATAAAATGTCAAAAGTATAATTTCAAAATGTTTGAAAAAGTTCTTACACAAATATAAAGTAAACATAAGTTTTAAACTCATTATTAAGGAAGCAGCAGGAAACAAAACTGGTTCCAAGAAAGATATGGGAAATAATGTTTTATATATATCAGTGTAAGAACAAAAGAATATTGAAATCATTCTAAATTATTGATAAATTAGATATAAATCTGATTAATGTCCTGCAGAGCAGTAAACTATAACTTTTTGTGTTATCTTCTCTACAGAGCAGAAATCATTTTCATCTGTAAAGGACAAAAGTTATTTGTATCTCTATTAGACAAAAATATTAGCATCTTACCAATTTTCTACAAGTTAACATTGAAATTTCTTTTTTTAAAGACAAAATTTGACCTATATCTATTAAAGAAATTGATCAATAGCTAATAACCTTCTAAAAAGAGAACATGCCAGGCCCAGATGGGTCACTGGTAAATTCTACCAAACATTTAAGGAAGAAATTTAACTAATTCTCTACAGTCTCTTTTAGAGTATAAAAGTGAGGGAATACTTCCTAACTCATCTGTGATGCCAGCATTATTCTTATACTAAAATCAGAAAAATATATTACAAGAAAAGAAAACTACAGATCAGTATCTCTCACGAACATAGATGCAAAAATCATCAACCAAATATTAGCAGATTGAATCCAAAAAAGTATATACATCATGAATTATACATCATGACCCAGTTA